TAATCGAATCCGAAATTGTAATCCCTAAGGGATTACAATTTGAGATTCAGTAATTACTAAAAAAACATGACTGCCTAACACAGCCGTGGTCATCATAATTATAACGGCTGTAGCTGATACATACTGTAATACATAATAATATATGATTATGCAGCTCAGACATTTTCTATCAAAATAAATGCTCTATTGCAAGTAGGGCAGTCATGATATCAGATTTTCACTACATGTTGATTCTGGCCAAAAGAGTTGCATGGCTGAGGCTCAACACCACTTGCATCCTGCAAGCGTATTTTTGATGACACCAGCTGTGAAAGGGTATATATATATCAGTGGCGGGCCGTGCATTTTATACCTGGGCCTTCTGTGCTGTCCTACTGAGCTACGGTTATTTGTTGGTGTAATAATACACGTATTTGTATTAAACCGTTTGGTACGAGGCTTACGAACCGAACAATACGTTTGAATAATACTAGTGCATTTGGAAAATGCAGAAGCTTAAATTGTGGGAAATATAATGTTTTCGATGGACTGCGCTCATGTAACAGACACGGGATGTGTGACCTTTTGAACCCGGAACAATAACAAAAAAACGAAATAACCCCGCGATTACGGGATGCTTCCTCATTAACGGACAAGTCAGAATCAATGTAATTAACACAATGACAAGAACCAGTCACATAAAATTGTCAAGCATGACAAATCAATCCGCCGGCCGGCGAACGAAACACCGGCCGGCGTTAACGGAACACCGTCCGGCAAACGAAACACCGGCCGACGTTATCATAGCACCGGTCGGTGAACGAAGCACCGGGCTGAATCTCTCCTTAAAACAAGCTGTGCTGGAAGCAGAGGAAGGCAGGAGCTGTGCAATGAAAAAATAAGATAAAGGGAAAAAAAATCTTAAATTATAAAATAGCTATAACTTTGTGATTCTGTTTAGGCCAGCAGAGAAGGCTTAGCTGGCCACCACTGATGTACTCCCTTCATTTCCAAACCCGTATACTCCACATGGGCTGCATTGATGAAAACACAGAGCATGTGCTCCTGTAAAAGTGATGCCTTCGCTTCTCCTGGGAAACATTTTACATTTCATTGTTTACAGTAGAACAGGTGTGGACGGCTTTAATAAAGATTAGCGCCGAATCTGACTGTGTGACCAACGGGTATTAAAATATCTCTTGACCTTGCAAACAGGAGGATTACGGTGCAAGTCTGCCACAGCGGGAGGGCGACGGCATGCAGCGTGCCCCGCGATCCTCTCCACTCAATAAACTGGGGCAGAATTTATGGCCCGGGCAGACAGCCCCCCCGCGCTCTATGTGTTAGTCTCCCTTACGGATTACGGGAGACACAAATGGTGATGCGTGGGTGTCAGGAGAGGTGCTAGACGCTGATGTTTCAGGTTTCAGCTGGATTTATGCAGCCTTCTCAATGGAAGTGAACAATATCTACCCAGGGGACGTATACAGGAAATACTAAGGGCCCCCCCCAAGTCACCGCTGGATCGTAAACACCTTCACGTTTGCTCTCTTATTCCCACTCTTGTCTCTTTGTCTGTCTCCGAGGAGCAATAGCATCACCCTGGAGTTGACTGCATTACTGTAATTCCTCTTAGGATCCTGACGTGAGCCTGGCGTCCACCATGACATGTCAATACTTGGCTCCGTCCGTTAATCGAACCAGAGCGCCGTTCTTTTATGAGACACAACAAGGGGTGAGTGAGCGAGCTGACTCGGCAAAGGCCTGAGTCAAATTGAATTCACCATTGATCTGGACGCCGTCATCAGATGTTTTCTGTGATGAGGCGAATCATTTTTAAAAATGCAGGGTTTGGGAAGCGCAAGCCCAAGAATTATCAGTCATCTCACTCTCACTATCCGCTGTTTACTCATCACCCCCCCCCCCCCAACCCTGCATGTGATAGCTAACTTCCTGTAGGCCTTCCTGTGTTTTAATGAAGAAATAACCGTTCGATGTGACAGAGATCACTCATAGCGACAGGTTCCCCAGAGAATTATGCAGCTTGCTCGAGAGTTTTTGGGTCTTTTGGTGTCTTCTCACTGCTTTGGTTTTTAAAACCATCATGTTTCGTTCTCACCACTTTCATCAACCTCATTTCCAGCAACATTAGACATCTGTTTTCAGGCTTTTTTTTTCAAGAAAAAACATGCTGGCTGCACCAATTGGCAGCACATACTAATGCTGGGGAGCAGCTACTAGCTCAGCTAAATTCTCCGGTAGCGGCTAGTTAGCATTCCTATTTACAACATCATGTACAGGTCCCAGTAGCAAGCTAGTAGTTTATGTCCAGTCTGTGGTAGCAAGCAACATGTTCTGCTAAATAGCGGGACCGTGGGACCAAACGCTACATGGCTAAAGATAATAAAAAGCTCTGAATTGATGTAGCTCTGCTACATCAAATCTCCGCGTAGATTTTCCATCTTGTGACTCAGGAGGGAATCAAACGAGCGGCCTGGTTGGGCGTATATACGGAGCTGAGGGAGGGAGAGCGGGACGACACAACCGAGCCGTGCAGAAAGCCGCAGGCAGCTCTGTATGTAGAGCTGGTCCCCTTTAACTTTCACATCTGCAAAAAAATAAAAAAATTTAAATACTAAAGAAAAAAGAAATAAGCAGTCTGAAGGCTGTGATGCGTGATGCGATGTCCACCAGGCCCTGCCCTCCCTCCTGGATCGGCAGGTACAGCACCGCAGATTTCAGCCAGTGAAGCCCTGACCAGAAGTCCACAACTGCCCTCTGGATTTCTTCAATCAGGCCCTGTGGTGGAGGTAGGACTACCAGTCTGTGCCAAAGGGTCGAGGCAACCAAGTTATTGACAATTAGGACCCTCCCCCTGTAAGAGAGCTGAGGTAGCAGCCATTTCCATTTAGACAGTCTGGTACACACTCTTTCCATAGCACCCTCCCAGTTCTGTCTTTGAAACTCCTCTGTAAAGAGGATGGAACTGTGTTCCATAGTGAGTCTCTGAGGCCTACATGTACTTGTTTTTTAGAGTCATAAGTTACATGCTTTTTTTGTTTTCTAAAATTACTTAACATTTGAATAACATTATGAATAATAATAACAATTATAATAAAGGTGATTAATAATAAGCTGTAACAAACAGGCAAAACATGGTAACCTCTGGCTGGAATATCCCTGTCTTATTTTACCTCAGACTGTGTTGACTCTGCTCCATGTTGGAGTTAGATTACTTTGAACAGGCAGATAGAAGCCTCTTAGACTCCATGATTCAACATCAGAAACCTGTATAATTAGACTACATAGTCATCCAACATGGATTCATTGTTGATAAATTCCTGCTGTTCAAATAAGAAACAGGCTCCTAACGTGGTCACAAGAGCATAATGGCAAGCACAGTACCTGCATTTCTATTGAATTTAAATAATAATCTGGTTCTGTTCATCAAGCTGTTACAGGTCAATTTGACTTTGTAGAATTTGGCTTTTTGACATTTTTTCAAGGCCTTTAGTTCAGCCAGTTCTGTAAAGTTCATGTAAGTGCCACCAAAGATGGCAAGAACTGTGTCAGGTGGTGAAGAAATCCATTATTTGAACATGTGAAAAAAATATTAAATAATATATCTGTTATAACATGCATGCACACACGTGCAAATAATCGTCTCACTTACCAGAACAAAATGTATGCAGTTGAAGTGCTATAATAGTTGAGAATAGATTTTTCCTGGAATCTCCTATTATTAGAATATTGAAATGTTGAAAGAAATGCATGCAATTCTCATCTTAATATTTAAGCTTGCTTTATTTTGTTTGCACAAACCATTGCATCAGCCTCCAATTTTTTTCTGTAATGGTATCCCAAGACATAACCATTTCTGTCCTCCATAAAAAAGTCTTCGTGGGAACTGAGTGTAGGATCATTGGATATATCATCTTCAAAACAAAAAGGTTTCCTTAAACTTAGAACTCTACAAATGCTGCTATATATCTATTCAACTGTTATGGTAATAGTGTTCTTAATAGAGCCAAATATGAGTGCCAGCCAATAGGAAAATAAATATCAGTGGTGGGATTCTTTTTTATCCAGATTATAATAAGAAAATTGACTGTGCCTGAAAGTAAAAGCAGCAAGCATACACATTACTCAGATACATTACTCCACACGTGATAATGAACCCAGTTTAAAATCATGTATAGTCATATCCTTAAAATATTGTATGGTTTCAGCATGTTGAGGTGAGTAATGTCAACGTGAGGCCCCACTGCCAGAAGATGGAGCTGTTTTCCACCAAATAGCTCAGAGATCAGGAGAAATAACCACCTCCAGTCTAGCTCATAATCAGTCATTAGACCTGGGTAATCATCACCATACCTTGCGTTCTGAGAATTTATTGTAGTTATACTAAATATGTGTGTCCATGTTTCAGTAAAGACTGGGCTATTTTGATTTTTTATGGCATTTACATTTCAAGTCTGAAATGCTTCAAACAGGAATGTACTGTCGACAGGACTTTCACGGTGGATTTGCATGGTTGACCTGGATAGTTGTGAAAATGTTTTAAGAAAGGATTGCAAAAACATTATAATTCTACTCCACTACACTTAACGCCAATAATTTACTACACACACACACACAGCTTTTTTATTTTTAATATTTTACATATGATACCCTTTAAAACATGATGCACTGCTTTAGGTTTAAAGCCAAATACATATTAATTTCTGATTCTTTGTTTGGGTATCAGTTATAATGAAACAATAATACAAGTTTTGATAACATCCTGATAGAGGTGAATACTTTTACCTTGATTCTTCTATCTCTGATGATATGTAGCCGACTAAATACTTACATGTGGTGTTGCTACTTTTCAGCAAAATATATGATAATTGTTTCATGAGTGGTCTTAAAATATAGTTTATTCTGTTTTATTTAAACGCATTGATACGCGTTCGTGAGAGTGGTTTTAATTTGGAAAGTAATAACCGGAAGTATAGTTGTTTCCTGCTCGCTTGCGTGAAACCACGTGACTGGTTTAGTTGGAAGTGGGAGTGTAAAGATGGTTGCTACTGTAATCAAGACAAATCTGGGTGGATTCAGAAGTTTGTGGTTTTTATGTCCAATGTTTCATCTGAAAAACATCCGTGAATCAACATGTTTGTTTATTACCGTTTGTATTTTGACGAGCCAGTCGTTGGCAGACGAACAGGACTTTATAGAAGACTTTTTGAAGCGGGAATATTCTCTGGTGAAGCCATACCGTGGTAAGTTTGCTGTCAACTAGGCTAGCGCTTACGTTAACGCAGACGTTTAGCTAACAAGTGTGACTGAGCTAAACGGAGTTAGCTAACGTTAACTAATATTAGTTAACTAACTAGCAGTTCCTGTCGTAAATGAGCATTTCACTCCACGTAGCGACATTCTTCGATAGCTAATGCGGCATTACCTTAGCCGCAGAGGATAATATTTAGCTTAACTAAGACGAACTGTTTGCCCCTCGGGCGCTAATGTCAAAATACGTGATCTATTGGCCCACAACGATGGTTGTGTAGTACCAATCATATGCCGAATTTACCATAATAACCCAATGTTTAAACAAAAGTCTGTAGTTTGAGTTTAGTTCATGTGTATTTTGCCAGTAAGTACAATTTAATTAAATTAATGAAATTATGTGTTTCCAGTGTTTCGTTGTCCATTAACAGACCAGCTGCTCTTGGAATCCCCATAGAGTGTATAGATACTACCGTGAATGCTGTATCTCACAGGTACTCTACTGTTTTGCAGGGTTGGGTCTCTCTGGTTCTTCACAGTGGTATCTGATGGGCACTGCCATGGTGACACCTGATTACGTGAGGCTGACCCCAGACCTGCAGAGCAGACAGGGGGCAGTGTGGAGTCGAATTGTAAGTCCACTGTCCAATATCTTTTTCGTTTTTACATAATAACGCCAATGCAACATTATTATAGGGTTGACCATTGGTGCTTTCACAAAGTGTTTTTGTTTTTGATAAATTGTTCTCAGTAATGTGAATGTAATGAATAAGTTGGTAAAGCCAAATAATAAAATGGTCTTAGATGTTAAGAAAATGACTAAATATGACTGTACTGTAGACTTTAAAAGCAGTAAAAGATATCAGTTCACACATTTATTTTAAAATTGTCCATAAATTACACATCAGCATGCCCACATAACATGACCTTGATATGAAAGTTAGATATATTTTAAGCATTTTATGAATATAATACAGGCCCCTTATTTACTGACACTATAACATTACACTAGTTCAGCCTGTTTTAAGTTCTGTCTGTTACTCAATTCTGTTCACAAATACTTACTACATATAACACATAGCACCAAAATAACCTCTTCAAAATAATGTCTTCATTTCATTCATTCTGTTGCTTTCCAGCCACTCTCCGTGCAGCATTGGGAGCTTCAGGTTCACTTTAAAATCCACGGCCAGGGAAAGAAGAATTTGAATGGGGACGGCATGGCTATCTGGTTAACCAAAGATCGCATGCAGAATGGTAGGTAGAAGCTGGACCGCCCTGGAGTTGTCACGTCCCGTACAATGACGAGGAACCGGTGCTACAAAACAACAGACCCCAGTACTCCATGAGCATATTTTACAAAGCCTAGTGTTAGGAGCTGGCTCATGTTTGTGCTCAACAAAGCTGTTAAGTTTTTAAATGATAAACAAAACATACACAAACAATAAAGAAACATTATGGGGAATGTGCTTCTGCAAAGTCGGATGATACGAGTTATGCATTTCATCTCTGTATATCCTGTACAAAGACTCCAGAGAGGGTTTAAGAAAGAAACAAATTGTAATTTTACATAACTGTGGACTATTATTATTTCTATAGATAATGCCCAAAATGCTTGAAGACAACTTTCTATAGTTGAATAATTATTATACTATTTACACATATCACAGTCTTTGTCTGAATTATTTTGGCAATGTTTGTTCTGTAAAATAATGTTCTGTAAATCTAAAGAGCAGCTTTTAAATGACGTTTCATTAATTATATGTATTCGCAAATTTAAAGAAGTCACAATAATAATAAAAGAGATGTGTTTGAGCGGCGGAGCGGCGTAAAAACATACAAATTACAAAGTCACTAAAACCGCTTCATTAACCGGGCTAAACCAACTAGCATGCTACATGACAACAACTGGTGCGCTGCCAAAACATTCCCGGTAAAACTCGCACTCTAGAATTTCTGTTCCGCATGGGCGAGTAGTGGACATAAACGGCTGTTTGCTTGACAGGGCGTACCAGAAAGATGTCGCATACTCAACCGAATGTCTTGTACCGAACAGTTTAATGCCAATACACATCCCACACGCACACACTGTTAAAGCCTAAATGAGCCTTGTATTTGTGGTGAAACTACAACCATTCTGTGCTGTTTGTTGTGAGGAAACGCCCTGATGCCCCTCACTCTGTCTTCACAGGTCCTGTGTTTGGCAACATGAACCAGTTCACTGGACTTGGAATATTCGTGGACACGTACCCCAATGCTGATAAGAACCTTGATGTGAGTGACAGTCGGTAGCTTCAGTCGTGAGTGAGCCTCTTATGGTTAGTGTGAAATGATATCAAAAGCGTGTCATATTTCTCTCTCTACAACCCTCTCGAATGTGCAGAAGACACAGTCTGGAACTCAGGTTTGTCCCATGAGCAGGGAATGTTCTTCCATTACCTTCATACCTTCGCCATCCCGTGCTGTCTCTTCACCTGCATGCATTTTAAATTCACATGCTGTCTGGTACAAACAGAAATAACCATAATGGTGCACATTATGGTTCAGAAGATGGGCATGTCTGTGTTGCAGCCACGGCGTTGTGTGTTCACCTCCCTCATCTTCCTCACAGAGGCTATTCCCGTTTGTGTCGGTGATGCTGGGGAACGGGACTCTGTCCTACGACCACGATTACGATGGGCGCACCACTGAGCTCGGAGGATGCGCGGCCATGACGCGCAACGCAGTCTACGACACGCTTCTCCTCGTCAGATACTCCAAAAACAGACTCACGGTATGAAACCCTCCGGTTAAGGTGGGATTGATGCAGTTCATTTACATCATGTTAGTCATGTCTGAAAGGGTAAAAATCACTGAGTGTCTTATACGATGAAAAGGCTTCAAGGAAGGATTTAAAACCCAGGATGATGATGATTGTATTAAATGTTGGAAAAACCTTCCCATTTAATCATTAAAAAGTATGAAAAAGGAAGTCATCAGTGACTCATCCCGAGCCTTCCTCCTCCTTCAGCTCATGGTGGACGTAGATGGCAAGCAGGAATGGAAAGACTGCGCTGACGTCACAGGACTGCGGCTCCCTTCAGGATACTTCTTCGGCGCCTCCTCGGCCACCGGAGACCTGTCAGGTATGGAATCTCAAGAATCATCTGAATGCTGCTCGACCACCAGGGAATCTCTTCTTTTTTTGATTCTGTTAAGTAAATATTCAACTTCATTGATATCTTTTTAAAGCGAAGGAGTTTAAGTATCTCGGGGTCTTGTTCACGAGTGAGGGTAAGATGGAGCGGGAGATCGACAGGCGGCTGCAGCAGTAAAGCAGGCGCTGCACGGGACCGTCTTGGTGAAGAGGGAGCTGAGCCGGAAGGCAAAGCTCTCAATTTACCACTCGGTCTACATTCCTACCCTCACCTATGGTCACGAACTCTGGGTCGTGACCGAAAGGACAAGGTCGCGGCTACAAGTGGCCGAAATGAGCTTCCTCCGTAGGGTGGCCGGGCTCAGCCTTAGAGATAGGGTAAGGAGCTCGGTCATCAGGAGGGAGCTTGGTGTCGAGCCGCTACTCCTTCGCGTCGAAAGGAGTCAGCTGAGGTGGTTCGTGCATCTAATTAGGATGCCTCCTGGACGCCTCCCACTGGAGGTTTTCCAGGCACGTCCAACTGGGAAGAGACCCCGGGGAAGACCCAGAACACGCTGGAGAGATTACATCTCCCAGCTGGCCTGGGAACGCCTCGGGATCCCCCAGAATGAGCTGGAACATGTTGCCGGTGAGAGGGAGGTCTGGGTCAGCCTGCTTGGCCTGCTGCCACCGCGACCCGACCCCGGATAAGTGGAGGAAAATGGATGGATGGATGAATGATATCTTTTGACAAACAGACCCTTCGCTATGTCCCGCCCTCGAACGCAGACTGACCAATCATAGCGTAGCATCTGCCAGCTCTGACCAGGGTCCGACAACTACCGGCTCTTCTCCATAGACTCTCATTTAATTGTTTCAGTTGCTTCATCTTCAGGCGGGTTTTGTAAATTTTAACAACAGCCACAACAGTTCCATGGAGTTGGCAGATAAGATGCAAGACTTTCAATCATGAGATCGGCGGTTCGATCCCCGGCTCCTCCAGTCTGTGTCGATGGGCAAGACACTTAACCCCAAAATTGCTCTCGTAGGCTGTGCCTGAGGTGTATTAATGGGTGAATGACATGTAGTGTTAAAGCAGAACACTGGAATGGGTGTATGACATGTAGTGTTAAAGCAGAACACTGGAATGGGTGTATGACATGTAGTGTTAAAGCAGAACACTGGAATGGGTGTATGACATGTAGTGTTAAAGCAGAACACTGGAAAGCTATACAAGTCAATTTAACATTTACCATTGGTGTTAAAATGACTGAAGAAACACTGAATTCTTTCTTCCAGTTTTAATCCCCCACTTCTACTCCTTGCTCTAGATAACCATGACCTCATCTCCATGAAGCTGTACCAGCTGACCGTAGAGAGGACTCCTGAGGAGGAGGAGGAGGAAGAGGAGGAGGTCACCATCCCCAGAGTTGACAACATGGAGCAGTTCCAAGGTAGATGCCTAATGGCCCTCAGGTCATCAGTTCTTTCTCACAGTATTGACTTACTTTAGGATTCAACACTGTTGCAATTGAATATTACCGTCACTCATAATTCCCACCAAGATTGGGTTTGATATTAGTAGACTTCGCAGCTTCCTGCTGCTGCTCAAAAAAATAATTCTCAGATTTGATTTTAATGTGTGAAGATATAGTGGTTGTTGTCTGACTGCCTCATCTTTTCTGTGCAATATAATATTAATAATCAAAGCAGAGGCTAAGATAACTTTTGAATCCCCTGAAAGGGTCCAAACATTACTCATAATGCAACTGGGTAGCATTTTTCAATAGGCTTCCCCTTCTTTGTAAATGATTACATGTTTTAAAGAAGACTTATTCAAGACATAAAACTATAAATGTTGCTCAGTTACAAATGTGTCTTTGTGTCAGTCCTTTTAAAGATCAGATGTTGCCCGTGTTAGGGCACTGTGATGATAGATCTGTAAGTATGGATCCCAGTCATAGGGAAGAATTAAGTTTAACTGTTCTGCTCCCGTACATCGAAAGCATCATTTACTCAGAAATACACGCCGCTGACAAATAACATGAGATTAAAGATTGACATCAGGAGGGTGTTTGCTCAGACTTTAGAAAGCTCCCCCTGGAACCACAGCATCCATCACACAGAAGTAGTGCTCCCAGCACCACTAAACTCAATTTGATTGATTGAATTTATTTGATGATAAAACACACACACATATATAACAGTTAAAGATGTCTAGTCGTTTAAATGCGCTGCCCTCGCTTGTCTGCACCAGTAATACTAGTCGGTTAACCTTAATATTATTTCAGTAATGTACACATTTAAATGACATAATGACATATGCAGTCTCAGCTGTGGGAGAGCCTTTGATCTGAACTCATCAGCTTCTTGTGACCCACGTCCACCTCTTTCTGAAACAGCATGTTAGTTCAGCAGTACGTCTGGTTCAGCTAACTGAAATTAGCCAGCTAGCACGTAAGCTACAGACTAAACCTAGCAACCTTGCACGCTATGAGCCAACAAAGCCACTCACTGAATCAAATGTATGTATAGATACTAACGGTAGAAGCCATTCCAAACCATGTCACTTCTTCGTCCACAGTCCCCACTGGTGTTTTTATCAATGGGCTTGTGAGGCACATTTCTAATCGGACAACCGGATTTCAAATACGATTTGGTTCCTGAAAAATGGGATTAACGGTTTCAAATGGCTTTTATATAATTTATGCAATATTTTTTCGGACAATATTTAACCTTATCATATGTCGGGAACACCCCTAATAACACTGCACTTACATTCTCATACTCATTACATACGTTAAATAACCCACAGAGGATGAGAACCCAACAAAGCCGAGAAGGACTGGTTGCATTGTGGTCATCTAACGTCATGTGTAAATTCGGTGCAGCCTTCCTTTAACTTTGGATTCAAAAACACTTCTTCATCGGTCTGTAATCAGGTAACGGTGTTTCCACAGGAAGTTAGCCCTTTGTCCAGTCGGACACTCTCAAGATATGTAGATTCTTTCTCAGCAATGATGCCCACGGAATAACACAACCAAATGTTATTGTCTGAGCCTTGGTGTAAAATACATCCCTCTTCATGAAGCGGTTGTTGCGTAACGTAAACACTGCTGGGGACCTCCAATGTGTCTGGTAACGACCCCTCCTCTTGCTTTGCAGTGGAAGTCCAGGAGGAAGAGATGAGCGGAGTGCAGTTCTTCTTCACCCTCCTCTTCTCCGTCCTGGGCCTGGGTGTGCTGGCCGTGGTGGGGCTGAGCGTTTACGGCCGCTGGAAGGAAAACAAACGCAAACGTTTCTATTGACGAGAGTGCGACCCGATCGCGTGTAGATGATTTTTTTTTTTTTAGAATGTGTTGTTTCCTAATCAACATACGTCAAAGCAATGCAAAGACTGCTGTGGCTTTACTGAACCATACAATCGAACAAACAACCTTATGGGTCTGAAGCCCAGAGCCATAAGAACATAATCAGGCGAGATGAATAGGTGAGCCAGATGTGAAACGTTCGTGTGTGTGTGTGTGTGTGTGTGTGTGTGTGTTTGTGTTTGTTTGTTTAATGGAAGGTAGATGAGCTAAACCTGATTTAATGTGATTTCTTATGTTCAAATGCGCTTATCAACTGAAAGCAGTGGGTCTGAACTAACTGAGACACTGTAGATATCCAATATTCACCAACAGGAAGAGACTGACTAAAAGCCTCTGAGTCTATTCAAAAAGATCCCAGATGCTCTGTGTAGTTTACTGACGTCACGTCATGGATGTTGTGGTACTGCTGCGTAACGTGTGGTTACCTTTTACTGCCACTCGGTGCCGCCATTGTGCAGCTTTATTTCTCTGTGAAGCTGTGAAGACCAATCAACCTGTGGCTCGTCGAAGACTTCTTGCTGTATTGGAAAAAAAAGTTGCGCTGTATTTGAGAGCATCTTATAAGCCAGGTAAACATTTCCATCAGCTAAGATGGATTCCTGTCAGCCGGTTTGTAATGCACGGCTAAAGAAACGCGGTGCTCTATGCTGTAACCAATAAAGACGAGCTCTCACTGCGTTCCAGTTCTGCAGACTCGAGCTCCTCTTTTATTTCCTGTTTGGCGTCACTAGTTGTTTGGTTTATTTACTTCCTGGAGTAGCTCACAGCTCTCAGTTGTGATACGTTGTTGCCTCTTAGCAGTAGTTTTTTTGTTATGTTAACAAAATCCAAACTTTTTCTGTGCCACTGAATTTTAACCAGACCTGTTGATAGAAAACATCTTATTTCATTAATGAATTCATCTGTGGTCATGTGACCTTAGCCTTTAGCCCTAGCATGCACTGTTGTACAATAGCCATAAGCATTGTGCAGTCAAGCTGGCACTGAGTGTTAGAGCCCTCCATCTGTGTAGAATCAACAGAGAGGAGTCTGCTCTGTGCCGACAGGCCCCACCTCATAACATCTCGGTTACATATTGGTTCAATATGCCAACATTACCCACAATGCAACTTGGATGCAGCCGATGGCTAATGTAGCCCGGAGCCTCTAGCGGTGTGTTTTCTGATGACGGGCCTCTCTGATGTGAGATTTCTTTTTCTTTTTTTTTTAACAAAAACTCATTAATTATTTCATTAACTAATGTTATTAGTGGGTAGGCCATTGCCCCAAAAGAGCGCTCCACTTTTACTTTCAGTAAAGTCCAACACAATCACAGCTCTGCTGTAGTGAAATATTTGTATGAGTGTTAACCACTGGGGAGATTTTGTCTTACTGTTGCAGATCTCATTTTATGGACATAGTTGGAGTCGAGACGCTGTGGTCCTCCTGAAAGGTTTACTGGTGTTTCTCTTTTCCTGTAATTGTCTCTTCTCTTTACTGTATGTCAAGCTCCTTGTTGTAATCGATCATTTCACCATCATGTGAGTTCATTATTTAAATACTAAGTCAGTTAAAATGTTCTGATCGAAACCCCTTTTGTGAAAAAGTAGAAGTGAAGAGCTTACGTTGTGATCATTCTTTGTTTCTTTTCCTCTTTTCAGTAAAACATTCTAATTTGGTTTCACTTGTATAGTAATGTATTTATTTAGTTTTTCTCATAAATGCTGTTATTATATGTTAAAAATCAAGATTATTAAAGTATGAGCCAGGATCTTTAGACTTGTGGTTTCATATTTAGGGTGCTTCTTTCATGCTGTGATTATTATTTCAAGTCTCTGTCTTTGTCTCTCCCTCTCTTTCTGTCTGTCTTTCTCTCTGTGTCCCTGTCTCTTTCTTTCTCTCTCTTTCTTTATATCTCTCTTTCTTTCTCTTTTTCTTTATATCTCTCTCTCTCTCTGTCCCTCTTTCTTTATCTCTCTTTCTCGAGAACAAAGGAAAAGAAGCACTAGAAACTGGTATAAAGAGGGAACAGTGGTTGTGATGTGCGAAAGTAAACTATGGAGCTATTAATATGAAAAACAGGAATAATTGTCCTCACATGTCTGTGTGCACTTTCTTTTCTTTTGAGCGAGGAGTCCACAGGTGTCGGTGTCCGGGGCTGCCAGTCTGACTCTATAGACCTGCCAATGATGCCTCCTGAAGAGACTTCTCTCTCAGCAGCTCCTAGTTACCGCGGAGGCTCCTCCTCTTTAGAGTCGATCATCTACATATTTCTAAAAGCCAGTGCGTAGACAGAAGCCTCCGTCGTCTCTCCTCCTCCTCCAACCTATGTCTCTTCCTCCTCATACCTGTCTGTCGTCACATGACACCGGGAAGACCAACATACCGCTCACTGCATCTCCCACTGGAAATACTGCTGGATACAGTGTAGTTCAAGGTAACAACTCAGGTAATGAATCTTTTTTTGTTATGACGGATGAGTCAATCCCACTAATTACACAATAACTCTGTACATGTTTGTTTAAAAAATAGCTTGATTTGTGAAGAACAACACAAAAAAACTCAATAAATTCAGTAATAAAGGTATATACAATATCCCTATTGTTATACAAGTAGTGATGTAGAGAAAATATTAAAGTATACATTGACAGCCTATAATAAATGTATGTCACTGGTGGTTGTGCTAACCCGCCCTAATGAAACCCGTTCTCAGATGTTTAGGTACAAACTTGCAACAAATGGTTAACGTGGAGATAAGAGCAGGTCACAATGATTAACTGGAGCCTGAATAGGTCACTGGTGTCCATTGTGCCCGATGGCTCAGTGTTGCCATATCAAACAGTGGTGTCCTGTAAACACTCCGCCACCGCGAGGAGCAGCAACATCACTTGTTTTCCTTGACGAGTATTGCAGGATAGCATTCGCTCTAAAATATGTAATTCTGTATGTTACTGTAACTAGTAGTTTTAATCGACCAATTTGTGGACTCTTACAGATTTGATTTTTTGTGAGGAAGACTGTCGGGAAGGATGAACCGCTCGTGTGTGAACTACTTGAAAACTATGGTGATAAGTCTCAACTTCCTGTGCTGGGTAGGTGGTTTAAACAGTGGTGTAAGGTAGTTGCAAAGGGTCCCAGATCAATTCAATTTATTTGTATAGCATAAATCACAAATTTGCCTCAGAGGTCTTTACAATCTGTACAACATACAACATCCTCTGTCTCAGGACCCTCGCGTCGGAATAGAAAAAAACCTGGGAGAGCAACAAAGGAGGGATCCCTCTCCCAGGATGCACAGAAGTGCAATAGATGTCATGTGTAGAGAATGGAGTTCAATTCATAAAATATAAATGATTCATATAATGATGGAAAAAATAATGGCAACAGTGGATATAATAGAATAAAAGTATTAATGGTACCCCACATTCTAGGCCTATAGCAGCTTATCTAGGGGCTGGACTAAGGCAAACCTGAGCCAGCCCTAACCATAAACCTGAGCCAGCCCCAACCATAAACCTGAGCCAGCCCCAACCATAAACCTGAGCCAGCCCCAACCATAAACCTGAGCCAGCCCTAACCATAAACCTGAGCCAGCCCTAACTATAAGCAGTTATGACCGCTCACTCTGCTCTGTGTATTATATCGTCACATCAGCAAATAGGGGCTCGATAGTTGACAATGTACATATTTCCCAGCAATTTTTGCATATCTGTATATGGCAACAAAAAAAAGAAATCAAAGAAAAATAAGTGATTCATTGAATTGGTTGTTTTTTTAATGTGTAGTCATGGTTTTTATAGTTCAGGTATTTTACACAAAAAAAGGTACAAAAACCATGACGGAGATGGGTTTGCCTTTTCGAGGGCATAACTAGAACCATTTCTAGCTCGTTGAGTTCTTTAAACACAAACAAGCGTATTTTCGAGGTGCCGATCTGAATCGCACGTAGGGGTCCGTTCTTCATCCAAATGCATGGATAACTAAATAAACAAAAAATAGTTTAGTGGTTCCCAACAGGAAGAAAATAATGTTTTGTTGTTGTACTTCTTAGGTCTTAAACAGTTATTCATGAAAAACATGTGAGCCGTATATTTGGTGGAACTGCTAACAACTAAGAATTATTTTTAGGGATCTAAAGCCATAAAGGTTTTGAACCACAGGTTTAATATTGATGATATATTTTAGAGGCTTATGTTTTTATTTAGAATCTTTTGTGAAAGGTATTTAGTACCTACAGCTGTAAAGTATATGTAAAGGAGTAACTGGTACAATATTTCCCTCTGAAATTAAGTGTAGAAGTATAAAGTAGCAGAAAATGAAAACACATTAGTACAAGTGCCTCAAATGTGTACTGAAGTACAGTACTTGAGTACTTTCCACCAATGAAAATGGATCAATATTCCAGAGGTTTTCTATGCAAAGAATTATCAGACACAGGCATATTTTGCTGTTGGCTGTACATTCTGTATACAACTGTCCACATTGCACAATCTCTTTGAGGTAAGAAGGCAGTTTTAAAGGCAGTAATTCAATTAAATGTATCTTCTATTATTATGAAGTTATTTAGTAGATTTGATCCTGACTTAATGTGTGACATTGGTCGAGTGATTTTCCAATAGAAAATGTCTAAAAGAGGTTGTCTCGTGGGAATAAAATGATTTAATCTGGAGGTGTGAACGTTTCATTGTTATGCTGGCTGCATGCTGTGCAGTCGAACCACATTTCATATGGAGAATATTAACGTGAGGTGTCTCTCCTGTGCGCGTTGGAGCTGTGTGGCGCCTTTGTGGTGGCCTTAGGAGAGTTCCAGGTGATTCACTCCAGGTTCGCCTCCCTCGTCACCACCTTCTGGCCCATCTTCCCCGCCAACACCCTGGTGGTCACCGGCACCATCGTTACCTGCGTGTGTTACCTGGGAGTGTTCGGAGGCATGAAGGAGAACCGCTGCATGCTCATTAATGTGAGTACGAGACAGGATTAAATAGTAACGGTGGCTGTTTAGTTTATGCTGTTCATGTTAGTTTGATTATTCTAAAAACATTAGCCTATATGCACATACGTGGCAAACTGAAGCACAGATCATACAAACCAGAGATTTTCTAATAACGTTTTTGCCATCCCGATACCTGAACCTTTGCCGATACCTAGTACCGATCCAATTAAAAAATGTATACTGTAAACTAAGTGTCTTAAAACTTGCACTCTCTCTAATGTCCATCAGGGGGCGACGCTTCTGGTTGCAAAAAGAAGTCTGATTGTATAGAAGTCTATGAGAAAATGACTCTACTTCTCTCTTGATATATTACCTCAGTAAACATTGTGAACATGAGTTTATGGTCTCAATCTCTAGTTTCAAGTCTTCTTCAATACAGCATGATGTTCATTTAGTAAATAATGGTCCATTTAGTGTCAAATAGACCATAAGATAGTGTATGTGGGCTTTAGGGCGGGGCTACCATGGGGTTGTCCGGTCTGGGAGTTGTCTGTGTTTTCGTTTTAGAATTTTAACCCTTTCACAGTGTGTTTTCAGTTCATGAAGATGAATTGTAACATTTTGGTCTCGTTCAGCGTTTGGTTGTACTTAGCTCCAACTTCTTGGGTCACTTCTGGTTCCAATAAAACAAGATGGCAACTGACAAAACGCCGAACTCGAGGCTTCAAATTCAAATTCATCTTGTATACAGTCTATCGTAGCAAGTGACACGTGTTGTTGTTGCTTCTCCTGTGTAGCATAAATGAGCTGATACATGATATGATAAGGTGATATAGGATCGGCGCATAGACTCACATACTCACCGATACCCGATCCAGCATTTTTCGGCTGTACCGACTCTTACTGCAAACTCACTCATATTTGAATCTGATTTGCACTGACTCCAGTTCTTCGTCCTGTTGTTCATCCTGATGCTGGTGGAGTTAGCCATGGGCTGTGTGTTCCTGGTCTACAGCAGAGAGGTAGGAGACTTTATGCACAATCCATTTGTAGAAGCTGATTTATACTGTAGGTGTTGATTTGATTGATATGTCACTATTGGGAACATTTCAGAATTTTGCAAAGTGAAACTCTCCAAATGAACATGGACTGGTAGAGGGTCAACCACCGCTGGTCTCTCCGCCAGCACATGCTGCCATGAAACTAGAGGCCGTTGTCTTTACTGTCCATCGGGCAGCAGTATATTGCAGATAGTGTATCTTGCCTTGTCTGTCGTGCAGATTGACACATACTTTGAGAGAGACCTGATGAGAAGCCTGGAGATCTACAGACAGTCCGGTCCAGAAAGCAACACGACCATTAAAGATGACTTCGATGCTGTCCAGCACCTGGTAAATGATCTGCTACTCTGCTTCATCAACTTAAAATGAACCCCATCGCTAGTAATAAGTTATTCACTTTCCCCCGCACATTCCACTGAAGTAGGGTGTTTTTTTTGGTACAGTTTAGGTGCTGTGGAGTTCATGGTGTGGCAGACTGGAAGGGTAACATCCCAATCTCCTGTTGTAGGGAGGACCCCTGTAACACCCTAATTCACACAAACTGGCAAGAGGTATTAAGAGAATTAATAACGTGCCGTCAAACATTCTTTTTAATAATTGTCCTCCATATGTCTGTGACTTTTGTACTCGACCCTCCATCCCGTTCATTATTCTGTTCTCTTCATGACTTGTCTATTCTCGATGTTTTATTTTTGCTGTAACCCTAAACAGTTGCTTTGCTGTAAACGTGCACATATGCTCAGCTAATTCACTCTGTATGAATAAAGGATCACCGTAGAGATTTTGTCTTTCAGGGTTGTCTCGTGAAACTGAAGGACTGGTTTTCCAGAAACTATCGTAGCACAGGCGCAGGCGTTGTCACGATGTTTATCCTACAGGTACGTACATCTTATTTTCCTCATTGTGAGGCTCAAAGGGATAATTCAATCCCTTGGCTCAGTTGTTACGATGAACGATGGGGCCATTGTATGGAAAACAAAAACAAAAAAATGACCCTGCCTGGGGAGGGGGGTAATGCTCAGAGAAAAAAACTAATTTAAGTTGTAAATTCATGAGAAGAAAACGTGGCTATTCTCTAAATTTAAAGTGGTGAATCTCCAACAAAAACTCAGTCAGGAGAAAAGAATTTGGATATTCTCTGAGATTATAAACTCTCAACTTCACAAAGTCACCAATGAATTCTGACATGTATGGTAAATGTATTCAACAGCCCAGATCAAGCTGACAGGGAGATAGCGATGGACTTGGCAAAATTATCTGTATCTACAAAATACATAATATATGGTAATAAGATTAATTGGATTATATTTGTATTCAGTATAAAACATGTTACATGTGTCCCTAATATATAAAATAAAGCTAAATTGTGAGGGGAAATGTCTAAAAATATATAAATAATTCCTGACAATGTGTTACATTGTTACATTTGAGATGCACAATCAGGCATTTTCAGTCTTAATGAATTTCAGATTGTTTTTCTTAGGAATACTGCACCCTTCCCCAGGCTAAGTAATTATTATACTGTATATATATATTTACAGACAATCTCCCTAATAGGCTGTTTTGGTCTCCAGCAACTCCTGGGAAATATGTCTCTTTAGCTGCAAAATGCTCCATTGTGCACATCAGCTAGTTTCTAACTGTGTCCGTCTGCTATTTGATCTAGGCAGGAAGTCTACAGAGGGTTCATCGAAGCTTTTAATTTTGTGTCTTTGAAAATCATTATTTCATAGATGTTTAACTTTATTTTGTTCTTGTTTTCTTTCTTTTCAGTTTATTTGTCTGTCCATCACCGTCCCTCTCTTTTGCCACTTCAGTCGAAAAGGACTGGGTTACCAGTGAACCAGGGCCAATAAAACTGACTTTCTCTATGTCAACAGGTTGATTTTCCCTGTATCAGCTGTTTATTAATCTGTGTCAAGTACCAAATGGGAAGAAAAAGAAGCCATTTCCAGCCAACAGGAGAAAAAGCGGTAGTTCTTTGACCAGGGACAAGCTGAGGATGACAGCTTATTATCACTATTGACAATTTCCTGTGAGGTGACAGAGCTTTGAATGTGATTTGATAAACATAATTGGAGACATTTCATTTGTAGATATATAATATTATAAATAAGACCTCTCCTAACCCACAAAGTGCTAGACTAGATGATATGCACTACTTTGGACACCTGCCCTTCCAAATTTGTTGGACTTCAAAACATTTTGAACTGGACTTGGACAAATCCAAATCCGACATGGGTATTGAACCCCCCCCCCCCAACCCAAAAAAAAATCTTTCATTATTATTTTACCTCATTCACTTTTGAGTTTTCAATATTTTCCTATTTTTGATTATGTGCTTTCACTTGTTTTGAGCTACTGGGGAAAAAAACTTGTAAATACTCCAGCGCGCATGCTGATTAAAATACAGCTATTTCCATTTGTCTGATGTTTTTTTTTTTGTGTTCAGTCTTTGGTCTCTAAGTCCAAGCTTGGGCGACAGGTTACCTTAATGTACGAAGGTGTTTATTTGGCAGAGCTGAATTTGTAGTTGCAGAGAACTGCTTCCCTGTTTTATATTACCTGTAAGAAATTCCGAACACTCTAAATCAAATCAACCTAAAATATGCGCTTGCAACTCCATTTGATTGTTTTTCAAATTTCAAATTGCTTCCCTTTTAAATTATTAGCTTTGTTTCGGTTGATTCTGATTCTTAGAAAATAATGCCCCATTCCTGATACTATGCAAAGAAACTACAACTATAATCCTTGATATTGTGTGTAACATGGCTGTTTTAAGAATTCACATGATAGACAAGTTATTAATCAGTTATATGCTAGTGTGTGAGGTAACTTAACTAGCATTTGTTCTGGCCACTGCTGCTGTTGTAGGACTTTTTTTGTTGTTTTATCTGATGGAAACATTAGTTATTAGATTTTCACAATTTCTAATAGAACAGCAATAGTCAATGAGCTGCTGGCACATGTTCTGTATCTGGTTCAGAGTGAAACATAATGGAAAACCCAGTGTCACCAAGCCTTTTAGTGCATGGATGATAAACAGGCTTATGAAATGTTGTATATTTACATAGAGGTGAACAGTTAAAACCCAATATCTTTTTCAAAATAATGAAAATTAGGTGTTTGCTCAACAAGATTTTAGTTATCATGTAACTTTAAGGCTATGATGCCATCAAGTGCATATATTTTACACCAATGGGCTTAATAGGCTTGCAGCGGTAATGCTTGATGCTCAAATGTAGTCACGGTTTTTAAGGTTAAGATACCCACCATATTATCTGCCCAGAAAATTCACCAGTTTCCTTGTTGCTGCTATTTATATTCCTCCTGATGCAAATAAAATAAAATGCACAACTGTTTTTGTTCACCTTGTGTAGCACATGTAGCATAAAGGGACTACAACTGCATTTTGTGGTGCAGGCCTGTGTTACACATCAGCAATGTAAATGAACCTTGAACATGACTTGAACATTAAAATGAGTTAGCTGGAACTTTACAGGTACCATATTGTAAAAAGTTTACGTATTTGTTTGTTGTTTTAAATCGGGTCTAAGTGCTATAAAAATGCTGTAAAAGTATTGACACGCTCAATCCATGGAGAAACACACAGCCTATGTTCAGAAACTGGTCCGGTCCGTCTGTGACCGGGCGGTCGATTCATCCATGAGAAGGACTTCTTACTGGAACTGAAACGATGTACTGGGATTCAACTCTTTGACTCTTTAAGTGAACATTATTCGGTAAGTGACAAACTGTGTTTGTTTTATTTACATCTGCAGTAACTGTTCATTTGTCTATAGTGTCGTTTTTATGAATAATATGAATGGCTCCTGCCAAATTTCAGCTGCTAAATTGATGGTCACCAGCTAGAAATGGGTTGCTTGCTTTTGTCTACCTCTGTCTGAAGTCAATGACCCATTGTTTCAAAAAGAGTTGTGATGGTAAATGGGCCACAGTTTTAGGTTATCATTAAATGCCGGAATGGAAAGCATGACAGGCGTAGCAACAGTAACCAAGGAGGGCAGGGAACTGTCTTGAAAACAACGTTGGATACCAAAACATTGAGCATGTTTGAATAAAATTGCGTTCACTTAAGTAGGCCTGAAGGTAATGGCTAGTTAAATTATCTGACACAATTAATTAATTAATTCCTGAAAAGATGAATGATTCAAGGACTCCAACTCTGCGTCAAATCAAAACCTCAGGTATTTAAATTTAGTTAGCACAGATAGCATAACTGCACCAGCTTGGTTTTTCGCTATTATTCTTTGTAAGACTCCACTGTGAAATACAATTAATAAATTAAAATAAGTATTTGAGCTAGCTAGGTTAGCGTTGACTTGGTTAACCTTGCTAGTTAACCTAACCTATCATAAAACATCAGAAACAAGCCCCTCTTTGTCGCTAATGTTACTGTAGCTAGCTATATTACAGATAGTCACTGTAGCTAACCAAACTTATAGGTTCATGTTATCAAAATAGGACAATAGTGACATATTAGCCTAATGTTAGCTAATCTTCCATGAGGTCAGTCATTGCAGAAAATATGTCTGCACTAACGTTAAGTATAAAACTACCCTCTTAAAACTACCATCAAGTAAAATAATGTCCGACATAAAATACATGTTGAGACGAGGGACACAAATGTTAAGTCTAGCTAATAGTTGGCAAATTGTAGCAATACGTTTTATGAAAGCACTAAATAGCATTAATATTCAATAGAGCTCAATTTACATTTCCAGAGAAACAGGCTGAGGCAGAGGAAAGTGGAGCAAAGCAGGTCTGGGACAGCTATGACAAACCTACTACAAGACAAAGGCCATCGTCCACGCCTGGACTTCCTCTGGAGGTACAGCTTGCTTTGTTGTCTACCTTTTTTTTGTTGCTAAATGACACTGCAAACTGCACTTATCTCCACTAGCAAAGAAGAATTTTAAAAATGGGAAACATGGACGTTGAAAATAATGTATTCTGTTTGTTATTTTCCCGTCATTCAGAAACAATGTGAACATGAGAAGCGGAGGGGGCACATCCTGATCAACGAGTACAACCGCCTAACATTTGCTGTGACTGATCGGGAAGCTAAGCTGAAGGAGCTGCAGGAGTCATTGAAAGCGATGAACTTCGAGCCAACAAATTACTACAATGAAGGCGCAAGCAAGCAGGTAAGAGTGCATCTGAGGACATGCTGCTGAAAACTCATTTGACAAGTGACATACTTGACACACGGTCTTTTGGTCCATCATTAATATAAAACAATGTTGATTAGTTTTGCTTTTTGCCACACACACTCCCTTTGAGGCAAGAGTTGGTGCAAATTTGCGTGAGATGCTCAATTCAGTTCATGTATGTTCACCGTAGTGCCAGTGTTATTTACCAGTGTACTTATAAATGGTACTGGTGCACTGGATGCCAGTTTAAATGACAGTGCATTTAAAAGTAGATGGGGCTTAAAGCTGGAGTACAGGACTTTAACTCATAAATGAATGTTCGTTATATATTAATAACCCTTGCCAAATGAGTCCACACAATGCTGATTAAACATATCGCCGCCAGGGAGAGCTCTCTGTATTTCGCAGTAGACTGGAGTTTGCGGTGTCTGTGGCGACTTTCCCGCACTGAAACACGTAGGCCTGCAGGTGAGATTGTCGCATCTCTTGGCAGTTTTCCAGCGCAAACGGTTTGTCTTTAATTCTTCCTCTGAGTTTCTTTTTCTATCTGGAGCATCCGCTCCAGATGGCTGCTACATTCTCGCCGTTGGTCTCTGCCATATGGTAATTACCCTCACTGCCTGAGGGCGGAGACAAATATTCCGCACTCCAGCTTTAAGTTAAAGTAAATCTTTTTTTTTTCTCCAGTTTGGCAACCCTCGATCTGTTAACAACCAACTTTGTCACCTATTTTTGTAAAAATGGACTTTCCACTAAAACTGCTGAGTACAACTCATGTCTCTGGGAACATGAGCACGCTCACCATGGACAGGAACCGCTGATGCTGGATGTATTTATTTACATTTCAAGTTGTCTCATATCTTCTATCATCCTATCACATCATTGATCGCATACTGTACCCTTTATCCTTCATTGTCTAATGTCAGCGCATACTGCAGCTAGAGAACAACAATGACAAGATGACGATTAAGATCATGGAGTCCAAGGAAATCGCGACAGCCTATCAACTCATTCGTGAACACCTGCAGCAGGTGAGCTATGCTATTTGAGACACTGTGAACCACTTTATGAAAACAGGAGGTTTAAGAAGGATTCTATCAATAGCAGTGTATCAATACAGATACTTTTTCAATGCTTAAGAGAGGGGACATCATGTTGTTAAAGAAATTACCATTATTTTTCTTATTTTCGGCAGCAATAATGAGAATAAACGTCTGGGAGTTCTATTGCTGCTTCACTACAAGTGCACTAAACTGAAATCAGATTGCAGTCGAGCTAACAAGGATACATAATTGAAAACTATCATTCAAAAAGGGCAAAAACATGTAAACGAAACAGTGCAAAGAATGAATATGTATCACTCCTACGCACGTTAAAAATACATTAAGCGTGCAGTCTTAAACGCCCCAAATGTTTGCATGCTGTCTTGTTGGCAGGGTAACATTTAACTTCTATGCACATGCACGTCAGTTGTTAGTTTTTATCCTAGTAGTAATGAGCTAAGAGATACAGGGGGTACGTGATTGGCTGAAAAGCGAGGGGGTTATTTCATGATGTTTTTTTTTTTTTTTTAAACAATCTAATGTTAAAATGAAAAATAACTCAATGTAAAATAACTCAATGTCCCTTCATTAGGAAACCAGAGAAGCTTTCAGAAAGACACATGTATGGGACACAACTAACATAAACTA